ATTTTTCTACTAAATTTCACAACCTAACTTGCCTATGATGAACTAAACTTATATTCATAAAATGTAGACCACTCGACCACGCTGAAAAGTGTAACCTTTTTTGAGATTGGAGGAGTAACTATCAGTGTGGCCAATTCCTATGGAATAATTATTTCTGTATTGACGTTGTTAGTAAGCAAATTAAAATTGATATTAAATATTGAATAAGTTTAAGGTACAGTAGTCATAAACATATAAAAAACAAACTGGCAACTTTATTTTGTTGAATTAACCAGTATTAATAAGAATAACTTAGGCTAATTCCAATATGAATTGAACAAAGTGAAAAATGCACTAAGTAAAATAAGGATTTGTGATACCTCTTTAAAATAGAAGGTGGAATGATATTAATTTGATAAATTAAAAATTATTGATAAATAAAATCAAATATGTAGAAGCGGAAAGGCATTGAGCAACTGATACATCAAAAAAGTAAAATTAAAACCTAATTAAAATATTACAAATTTTTTTAAATACTTGTAAAGATCTAAACTTACAAAAAATTAGGAAATATGTGTTAAAAACAACAAAACATCTTAAAAACAAATTTGCGTACTTTTCTAAATCTTAGACCATGTCTCGTGAGATCAGGTAGTCTTTTCTATTTCTTATATCGTTTAGATCATCTGTTCGCTTAATGCGACCGGGTGTTGTTTGTTTAGTTCTACGTGGTCGATTTGCTGGCCGTAAAGGAGTAATAATCAAGAGCTTTGATGAAGGCTCTCAAGAAAAGCAGTATGGGCATGCGCTTGTCGTTGGCATTGATCGATATCCTCGAAAAATCATTCGGAGAATGGGGAAAAGACGTCAAGAGAGTCGTTGCAAAATAAAGCCTTTTGTTAAAGTTTTAAATTACAATCATCTATTGCCAACAAGACATATGGTAGATATGGGTGTTGAGACAAGGCTTGTGAATAAAAAAGCACTTGAAGATATAAAAGCAAGACGCCGAGCTAAGCAGGAGGCTAAAATGAAACTACAAAAAAGGTAAACCAATTTTATTTACTCAATTTCAGATATCGTTCAAATCAATACCCTTGGTTCTTCATGAAACTAAGATTTTAGTGTAATACATTTAATATAAAGTAAACGGTAAAGAGTGTTTTTTATTTCAGATTATGTATTAGGGTTGCGATTTTTGTTATCCTATACTATAACCCTGATTTTTTGCTGTATTAGCTTGAGTAGGCGAAAATAAATCTAAGCGAATAGCTCTAGCATGTCTTGTCTGAAAAAGAGAATATGAACAAAACTCAATAAATTACAACGCCCTTAGAAATACTTTATAAGATTAATAAGACACTATGTTTATACCAAAGCGTTACCCTGATTCAATACCACGGATGATGATTAAAAGATAATATTCGCAAACAATTTAGGCTTTTCTAATGTATTCATTTAGTGAGAGTGTATAGTATACAACTATTATTCGAATTAGAATAAAAATCCGTATTGCGCTAATCGGTTGTATCGTGTGTTTCCTGCAACGTTAAAATTATGTGAATGATAAGAATGTTCGTGATCTATTCGATTGTCTTCAAATCGCCTAACTTTCGCTTCTATACTTTACCTCGTAAATGAGTGTATACAGCAGTGTAATCACTTTTTTTTCGTGTTTGACGGG